AAATAAAATGTTATCAATCAATGAATGACGTATAGCTTTTTTTACTTTTTAGACTCATTCTGTAAATTCTTCACGATTGTGAGTAAAATTACAAGTAAATTCAGATGGCTTTGAGCAGTCATATATGCTGCTTTAGGCATCAGTTGAATCTTTCTAATTGCTTTCTCTTTCCATTTGCATGAGCCCACGTTGCGATCGTTCATCACGAACATCGCTAATGTATCCCGATGCCATGTTATCTTCGTTCATCTACACGTACGAAAATAATTCATACACGGGCTATTTGCATTGCTAGAAACAAGTCGAAGCGACATAGAACGCTCCCCGCAAGAATTTTTACTGGGGCGATACAGATCTAGAATTTGAGCTGCCGTGGTCTCGTTACAGAAATTTCATTGGTCAATTAACGAAAACATATTAACGTTTGAGCCGTTAAACGAAGACAAGTGTTCAAGTAAGTATTTCAATAAAATAAAAATTATAAATCTTTTTATTCAGTTTCAACAATAGTTTTACTCAGTCAACAACTTTAAAAGTAATCTTCTCTGCAATTGAATAAGAGTTTGATCCTGCATGAATCATCTGCAACCACTTGCCTAGCAAAATTTTTAAATTAATCCTCACTGTTATAACTCCAAGGAAAACCCGGAACAAATGGTTCACTCGTCATATGACAGAAATGTGACTCAACTTTTATCTAAATGATTCAGAAAAATTCGCTGGATGTGAAAATTTTCTTTAATTCTGTCCCAGTGTCCCCACCCTCGCGCGATAAATTTTGAAGAATTTACTCAACGGTATTTGAAGAATTAACATTTTTTACTCTAAAATTCCAATTCATACGAACACTTTACTAACAATATTTCTAAATAATTTCTCATCACAATAACCTGCGACAAACAACACCACAGCTGAAGGTGTCGTCCTTACATAGCTTCCTCCACCAACTCTCTTCCCCCCTCCACATTTCTCTTCCCAAGCGGGACCTCAATTTTGTGGCCATTCGTTCCACAGGGTGAGGTCGGCGCTGAGAAATTACTTGTAGGTTTTAGAAATTCGTCCATGGCAGCATCAAACGACCGAGATGGATGGCATGGCTATCCCTCGATATTCCTTCCTTCCGCCCTGATGGACGCATCGGCCAAACTTTATTTTTGAAGAATGGTGCGTCGATGTTAGGTCGTCGACCGACGGGTGGCCGATTTCACACTGTCGCACATCTGAAAAATGAACGCAAAACACGTGCAATGTTAAATAAAGTTGTTATCTGAGCTTTAGCTTTGTGAGTTCCTAATTTCTATATCGTTCAAGAGAGCTTAAATAATGAAAAATATTCCCGAATATGAATATCTATAGAAGGTATGATTCGTAGGTATAGAAGGTATGATTCGTAAGAAGGTATGAGCAGGCCGTACGTGGGTCGCAGTGACACTTCTTGATTCGGAGTACACTTTCACCTATGAAACCCTGCAGGATGTGTTTAGTAAGATGTTCATAATTCAAAGTAATCTCTACCACCTCGGTACATATTGATACGATCATCCTGCATACGATCATCCTGGATACGATCATCCTGGATACGATCATCCTGCATACGATCATTCTGCATACGATTATCCTAGATACGATCATACTGCATACGATCATACGGCATACGATCATCCTGGATACGATCATCCTGCATACGATCATCCTAGATACGATCATACTGCATACGATCATCCGGCATACGATCATCCTGCATACGATCATCCTGCATACGATCATACGGCATACGATCATCCTGCATACGATCATCCAGCACACGATCGAGATCAAACGTATTTAATGAGTTCTTCATTACATCGAGTGGGCCGTGCATATGCTAGTCCAGAAATTCATCTGAAAACTTAAGATTTTACGAATCAAAATTAACGTTGTTTTTATTAAGAGTTATTTTTAGTCTGTATATAGTAGTCACTGATGCTAGAGACGAAGATTTGTCTCGTAGGAATAATATCCAGTTGATCTAAAGATTTATTTTCAAGTCCAACATATACTGAGTCGGTCTTTTGAAGTTTGAAAGGCACTTAAATCACCGTGCATTGCGAGCTGAAACCTATTAGTAAAATTAGTAAAAGATGTCTGAGCTTCAGAGCCGTAAAATGCCGATGCGGAACAATAAATCATAGCAAGATTCCCCATCTGTTAGAGGACTATTGATGGCTTTCTTCCTTCTATTTGGAAGATAACACGCTTGCTCAGATACTACTAATTCTTTATGGCTTCAAGATCATCTAGAAAATCGACCAAGGTATAAATTTGCGCATTGGGGTAAGATATAAGCGACTATAGATTTCCTTGTGCTTAAGATTTTCTTGGTTGAAGTGTTGAAATGCTCACCCAACTCAGAGGTTAACATAAGCTAACCTACACTTATAATGCGCTTAGCCTACCTTAACCTATACTTACTGCACACTTGGACTAATCGTAATTTTTGATTGCAACGCCTCTGCTCAGCTATTTTGCAGTCATTGAAATTTATTAATACGTACAATGTACGATACTCTCTTTCCTTATCCTCATTGACTTTATTGATCGTTATGGGGCAGAAGAACGCTGCTGGATCAACTCGTTTTCGCTACAAAAATAGCAGTTGTACTTTCTGATTCAACGATTGGTTCAAAAAATGGCTAAAAGGTATCAGGAATCGGCTGCGAATGCTCTATTTCAAATGAGAAAGCAAGATACGCAGGCAGCGCGAAGCGAAACGTCGTGGAGCTCTGTTTCTGATGGCACCGCTGAAAGTATCGAATTTTCTTCTGAATTTGATGTAATAAATGCAATCAACCGTATTTTAGATGTATCAGAAGAAGCTGAGTACAGATAATTTCAGAAATAATCTGTTAAATGGAAATATCGTTAAGGTTTTCTGCTCTCAACCCTCAACCGCCTGACATGAGTAGTCGGAGCAATATTGTCACACAAGCCTACTTCTCAAAAAAGATACGTTGTTATTGAGCGCAAAATGACTTGCACTGATGGTTGCCGCCACGTGCGACAACTTTAAAATGTTCTCTGTTGCGTACAAACATCCTCAGGTTGCTACACTCAATAGTTTACGTATAATTTAAGTTGAAAGTTATTTTCCCGGAGAGTGACATACGGCGGCAGAGGCTTACGTTCATTCCTCTTGCACGTTAACTTCCCCTCTCAATGCACTGTAAAAATTATGCACGCGCAAACAATACGATTTTATCACCAAAGCATGTTTTTAATGTTGAAATTACAATTTTCTTCGTTAGATTCTCTAAAATGTTTGTAAGCGCAGTTGCGGTTCACCTCGATTTCCTGCAATCTATTCAAATATATTTTTTCCTTTTCAAGTATTTTCCTGCAATCTACTCATATATTTCATAAATAACTAGCACGCATTACTGTTCTTAGTACAGAAATTCCAAGTCATCAGTTCTTTTCCAAATCTCAATTTTTTTCCTCCAGTTCAAGTCTAGGAAAAACGAGTTTCAGTTTTTATTTTGGCCTTCGTGTGTTGCTGTCGACGTTTCATATCCTCTAGATCTCGTCACTCCCTTCGCCTTATACCCCATCCCTTCGCCTTATACCCCATCACTTCGCCTTATACCCCATCACTTAGAAATGAAATCACCTGCACTGCTCAGAAATATCTCATGTCTAATGAATCCAACGTAGAATTTATGAAACTTTCGCGGGATTTCGGTCTATATTACCTTCATTTATTATACAGATCAACTCAGGTTTTTTTTCTATGGAGAAATGTGATTCGCATGACAGGGCTTTCTATAAAACCTTTTTTCTTTTTGTTTTTTTTTAAGTGCCTCTATATTGAAGTCGAGCACGAACACAAGACAAGGCCAAATTGACAGCCACAGATTGCGTGGAGATTTATACCATTAAAAAAGTTGGTCATCAACTCATAACATTAAACTAGTTGCATGAAACTTGTGAGAAACTATTCACAAAACTGAATATGCTAAATAGTATTAAATAAAACAACAGATTTGGATAAACATAAAGAAATACGTATACATTTTATACAAAGCTATTGATTTGCAATATTTATTTGAGAATTAAATCGATAACTACTACAATTGCAACATAGCTCACTTATAAATTGATATAAAATTATCCTACTACATACCCAGTCAATCAGGTCTTGATCGATCGATGAAGATTAGGGCGGATCGATGAAGAAATTAATGCAGATTCTTGCTCGATCGACATGTGCAAACCCCCATTTGGAGTGGGCAACGGAGAGGGCAATGTCACGGGGCGCGACGACGATTATTGAGGAACTTTCTATGACGATTCAGAGAAGATCGTCGAAGTTTCTGCACCTGATAATTTGTCGAATCGAATAATCTGCATCGATCGAAGTCGAATCTTAAGTAGTTTTAGCCGAATCTGCATTAATCGACGTAAATGTTGATCGATCGACGCCGAATCTTCAGTAATCGACGTCAAATCTACATTAATCGATTCCGGATCCACATTAATCGACGCAGAATATTCAATGATCGATGTCGAATCTATAATATTGCTATGCTGAATCGGTAATATTCGATGCAGAATATTAGCAGTATTCACGCCCTACTGTATCGAATATAATGAATTCTACTCTTGTAGCTGAACATAACTTTACACGACAGTTGAATAAAAATACACTACATTTTAATTTCACCGTCCATATAATATAGTAATCTACTTAGAAGCTGGTAAAAGTCCTATTGATTTTTTATTTTGGTATAGTTTCTGGTTAAAAACCTATAAAATGACTTACGCGCAAATTGATACGAGTCAATAATGATATTCAACGTTTAAAAAAATTCCATGATGAAACGTTATACATATTGTATACATGGCACCGTTCATCCTAAATTAATAACATGTATAATTTTTTTCATAAAATATCTGTAATATGTCGTGCGATTCCATCACAGGCGCCCGTTGAATTAAACGGCCATGTCAATAAAACGACAGTGGATTTTTTACTACTTTACTTTCGACAGGTTAGTCGACAGTTGAACAAGTAATACACCGTAATGATATAGAAGTAATAAGTGTACGGCAGCTGTGCACTTATTAATACATATTACATTATAGGAGTATTACTCCTTATTCTCCTATTACTTATTGCTATATTATTACCTATACAGCTGCAGTTCCATTCCCGGTTTATATTCCAGTTTTACCTAGGTTCAATTTAGTCTACTTCAGTCAATGAGCTACCTTATAATGGCACGACATTAAATTAGGATTGAAACGCTTGATTGTAGGAAGACAGGACTACCTGGACCGCCGTTTGATCCAGAAGGTGATGCACATGAAATTACACCTGCAGTTGATACGGTAACACTGAGAGATGATGAACCGACACAGGACAGAGATGCAGTAGCATCAAGCCGCAACTTTCTTCCTCCGTCCCAATCACGCGCACCTCGGATTGAGTGCGGCCTGGATGTGGTTTACGAGCACTTCCCTCGTATCCTTCATCTGCAATGCGGCGGCATCACCTGAAAGTTGGTGAGGACAAAGTCAAAAATCGAAAATATAGACTTCTCCGATTTTTATGCTCATTTTAAACGTCCAAGAACAACGCCTTTAAAGAGCTCAAAGTTATGTGTGTGCGTTAATTTGTTTGCTCATGACAGACGTCGAAGCGCAAGTAACGCCTAGACCTTCAAAGATCACAAATTTAAGATTTAAATTTCTCAAAATTTACACTAACAAAAAAGTCTTAGATTTCTGTTTTATATATGTGTACGAAGTTTCAAAATGATCCGTAAGTAAATAAAAAAAATTGACGTACATGCTCCTCTTAAACTGTGAACAGAGACAATGAATCAGCAATAAGGATGGAATCCTTAACACCAATACCCACCTAGAATTCGCGGTATATAGTAGGAGACTCCCAAATGCTTGCTTTGAGGCAGTTCTTCTCTCTCCTAAACCCGTAAAGCTGAAGTGAAGTGACAAATCGTGTGTCTTGCAGCGCTGCAGCACTCCCCTCACAGTCATCTTCGAGTTGCATCCGATGTAAGGCTGGGTTGTAACTTTTGAATCTGCATGGTAGAAATTTTTAATTCTTCCAGTTCAAAAAGCACAATCTAGCTTACTGCTGATGGTCATTACTAAGCATGGAAATGAACATATAGGCATTTATAAGTACGCAAATGCATTTCCAAATGCATGTAGGCAATATGTGTACTTTCATATCTATATATGTCGGCACCATGTCAGCTCAGGTCGCAAAAACCTGTTGTATAGATTATATTGGCTGGTATTGTACTCACCAGGTTTGGATCCTTGGCAATATTATCCAATTCAGTCATGGAAGTGGCTGGCACCTGCAGAACTTCAGAGGCACCCATAGACTTCATTTCCGCCGAGAAATTATTCATTGTTGCGGCCTAAGTGACAAGTCAGCAGAAGGCTTTCTTGACGACATCTCACAAATGGAATTATTAGGATCTGCAGTAAACTGAGTGGAGTACAATAGAGACAATAATTATTAATTAGATAGAGCAAATAATTTTGGAGGTGAATAGACAATAGATTTTTCTCATTGTTATTATGACTTATTTTTTTTACTAATTGATTTAGTTTTTTCCTTAATACAGTACCGTTTCTACGATCGGTAGAACGTACCGTTCTACCGATCTCATCAACTTACGTGTTACGTTGCAATGTTAATTAACTTGATTATGCAGATACGAGAAATTGTATATCAGGCCAGCTTCCCTTCCAAACATACTTTCGCGCCAGGCACCCTCACTTTCGAAACAGCAATAATAACTACAGCAGCAGCAATAGCAACAATAACAGCAGCAGCAGCAACAACGTCAGCAGAGACAGTAAACTACAGCAGCAGCAGTAACAACAGTAGAAACAGTAACAACAGCAGCAGTAACAGCAACAATAATAACAGCAACAGCAGCAACATCAGCAGCAGCAGCAACAGCAGCAACATCAGCAGCCACAGCAACAACAGCAGCAACAGCAACATCGGCAGCAATATAACAACAGCGGCAACAGTAACAACAGCAACAGCAACAATAATAGCAGCAACATCGGCAGCAACATAGTAACAGCAACAACAGTAATAGCAACAGCAGCAACAACAGCAAAAGCAGAAACATCAGCAGCAACAGTAGCTTCAGTAACAACAGCAGCTGCAGTAACAACAGCAGCAACAGTAACAACAGCAGTAGCAGCAACAACGTCAGCAGCAACAGTAACAATAACACAATAACAGCAGCAGCAACAACGTCAGCAGCAACAGTAACAATAACAATAACACCAGCAGCAACAACATCAGCAGCAACAGTAACAACAGCAGCGGCAGCAACATAATAACATGCAGGGGTGTGGCTCTCTCGCCAAGAAGCCCCGCCCCGACGGCATCACCTGCTCCTAAAGGTTCTTGCCTACACCTGCAGGTTCTTGCCTACACCTACAGGTTCTTGCCTATACCTACAGGTTCTTGCCTGCACCTACAGGTTCTTGCCTGCACTTACAGGTTCTTGCCTGCACCTACAGGTTCTTACATGAACCTAAAGATTCTTACATGCAACTACAGGTTCTCGCCTGCATTTATAGGTTGGCACATGCACCTACAGGTTCCTACATGCACCTACAGGTTCTTACATGCACCTACTAGTTCTTACATGCACCTGCAGGTTCTTACATGCATCTTCAGGTTCTTACATGCACCGTAAGGTTCTTACATGCACCTGCAGGTTCTTACATGCATCTTCAGCTTCTTACATGCACCTACAGGTTCTTACCCGCTGTCGTGCAGCGGCAGGAAGAGGTCGTCGTGAGGCTCGTAGGGGTCAGGGCTGTACAGCGTCAGCCAGACCTCCACGCCCCCCGCCGCCGCCACGAGCGCCCCCCATGGTGCCCCCCTCAGGGCCGCGGCCTTCGCGTCCACCACCACACGAGGTGGCATGGCGTGCAGGAGCTTTCCAGCCGCAGCAGAAACATCGCGACCTTTGGACAACCATAACGTGACTATACTGTACCTGTACTGTACCTGTACTGTACCTGTACTGTACCTGTACTGTACCTGTACTGTACCCTTATACACATCTAGATGTGTATAAGAGACAGGGTAGTAACGATGCTGGTCTGGTAGTAACGATGCTGGTAGTAACAATGCTGGTAGTAACAATGCTGGTAGTAACAAAGCTGGTAGTATCGATGGTGGTAGTAACGGTACTGGTAGTAACGATGCTAGTAGTAACAATGCTGGTAGTAACGGTACTGGTAGTAAAAATGCAGGTAGTAACGATGCTGGTAGTAACAATGATGGTAGTAACGATGCTGGTAGTAACGATGCTGGTAGTAACGATACTGGTAGTAACGATGCTTGTAAAAACAATGCTGGTAGTAACAATGCTGGTAGTAACAATGCTGGTAGTAACGATGCTGGTAGTCACGATGCTGGTAGTAACGATGCTGGTAGTAACGATGCTGGTAGTAACGATACTGGTAGTAACAATGCTGGTAGTAACGATACTGGTAGTAACGATGCTGGTAGTAACGATGCTGGTAGTAACGATGCTGGTAGTAACGATGCTGGTAGTAACGGTACAGGTAGTAACTTTGATGGTAGTAACGGTGCTGGCAGTAACAGTGCTGGTAGTAACGATGCAGGAAGTAAATTTTTAGATAATAGTAACGGTGATAACATAATTAATTGTGATTAATAATCAGTAACATAGTCAATTATCAGTTGTTCATAAAATCATGAATTAAATTTTTTCATATCATATCAAACTAAAATGTATAAAATGTATATTAATTTTAGATTAATTAATCTAAAAGAATGAATAGCCAAACAAAAAGTTTCCAGATAATTTATTTGCACTTTGTTTGTTGAGTTGCCTACTCTCATTTACTTCGATCATCGGCGATAAACCCACAGTCGATAATTTGCCGTGCATCTGTAAAGATTGTTTAGGGAAATTCGACGGCCAGACCATCGAGTGGGCGGATCTTCCGCGTTATGACATAACCCGCAATAATCGACTTCGTTGCCCACATTGCTGCTTGACTGGGTAGTGACACTTATATTTGCACCCTTATGTGGGGCAAAACGAGTCAGGATGACCCACATAAGAGAAAAACCTGCGTCACTATTTGGACAAAGTGTTCTCATTTATCTGAGAATGAGCAACATAAGCAAACACAACGAACAAAAAGAACATGTTATATCTATTCAAGATCCCTTCATAAGTAAATTGGTACATAATCATTTGCATAATATCGATGAATTGTGCGCGTTCTGTTTATCCTGCAACGTGAACAAAAACCGCAACTGGACCGCCTCAATATATACTACATCATTAACAAAAAATAACATATATATATGTGTCATCTGTTTTATTTTTATTTTTTGACATCTAAATTTCCCACACGACAGCAAAATAGCAACATCTGGGGTAGCATACCGCTTTATATTTCTCCCTCAATACAAGTGAATTACAGTGTAGAAATGTTTAAATAATTTAGATTGGAACCGGAAAATATTTTTATGCGATATTGTACTGATTCACTAAAATGTATTGGAAAAATTAATATCCAAAATTACAAATCGTTTTAAGTTAATTGGAAATCAAGTTTGATGAACAGTCACACAAATATGTTGAAGTTCATACTTGGTTTCATGTACAAGTGGATAAAGTGGAGTTTTCCTTATAAATAAATGATATATAAATTTGAGAAATATTTTTCTGTGAAAGCGCATAGAAGTTGACTGCTTACAGGCTCCCCTCGCAGCCTCAATTGAGCACGAAAACAAATCAGAGAAATGAAATCGAGCGCCGAGATAATCGCAGACCGCTGAGTCAGCAGACTTCGAGTCATCATCGAGAGAACGCAGACACCAAACCGTCAAATATCTTGCGGACGACAGCGCTGAATGATCCTCTTCAGATTTGTGAAGCAAATTTAGAGCGTTAATATCGTCTGAATTATTCCTCTCGAAATTACGACTGCCGCAGCCTCTTCCTAAAATTGGAGGCCTTCATCTTTGGTTTCTACGTCGTACGTCTTTTCTTTAATTTAGTCAGCACGAGCGACGTCTCTCAACGAAACCAATATTGGTGGAAATCGATTAATTCAGCCAGGATTTCTGCTGAGGCTTAAATTCTAGAACCTGACACGAAATTATCATGAATTGGACTTTCGAAATATTTTCTACTCTGGGAAGAAGACATTTTTTGCATTTACTGCTCAGCTAAGTCAGCTTACTTACTATAGTGAGCGGTAAATGCAAAAATACCTAGTCAGGTTATCTACTAAATCCTATAATGAGCACGAGCTCTTAGTAGGATTTTTTATTCGACCTCTAAATTTTCAGTAAATCCCACTCTTTATTTTCGCGAGACCGCAAAACTCGCCCATGACTCCATCAATTTAACACATTTAAAAACGAAAACCTTTATTATTGCAATCCTTCACTCTTAACTTATCCCTAGCTCAAGGGTCGGCTAAGTGGTCGATATCGACCCTTGCATGGGGTAGAGAACAGACCTCAAGAGGTCGATAAATTTATGAAGGTTGGAAGGGAATTGATAATGAAAAGCTGTTTAAATATCCGCAAAACATTATTTCTTTTTTAATATAGCAGCGAAGACTGCATTTTTCTCATCATTCATAACTTCGGGTTTTTTATTGAGTACAACAAAATATCAAATTTCTCTTTGTCAAAGTTTGTCATATGTGAATTTTGCATTTCTTCTTATAAGGTATAATAATACCATATTTTCGCCTTACTGTATGTATGTGGGCATAGAGGGGTCGACGTGTAACACAAATATTTTATGGAAGGAACGACCGACCAATCAGTTTCCCGACCCCAGCGGCTGAGCTGTGGTTCGCTCACTCATCTCTCAATCATGACTTATCTTTCATGCATTCTTCATGCATTTTGCACGCACGTCATAAGTTCCACTCTCGCATTTTCCTCATATACGTGATTTGTTCGTGGCGACTACCAAGCACATACCTCATACCTCTACATCAGCCATCCCACATTAATGGCATGGATGCATGACCTATAGACTCACCATACCCTTATACCTCACATACCCTCATGCCCTCATACCTCGTTTGACATCAAAAGCTGCCTGGAGCGCTTGGCTGATCATCAAACTTTGTGTTTCCAATTACATTTGGAGAGCAAAACTTACCGCAGCCGAGCCCTAGGAAAGCCTCCTATTTCTTGTGAAGGATATTTCAGAAAGTTGTGTCGTCTTGCAGTATCTTTAGTGCGCCCTAAAATGCTCTAGATGCGGTCTCCCTGCAGCTCGTTATTTTTCTTAAGTTTGGCCATTTGCGGTATAAAAGTGGCCAGGAACTTTAGCGAGCGACGCGCACACCCAGACGCCTAATGGATGAACCTCTTCGCCGCCGTTGCTCTAAAAAATACGCGCAAAACACTCCCCAGAAAACAGCTCCGAGAATTGCCCTGCGGTAGCGAGCTTATTCGGCGTGTTGAAATGGCAGTTAAGATGCATGCCAGATGCTCGGCACGGCCACGTAGACTCATGCCTCACAAATGAAAGAGCCGTGCAATAAACATGACAAACGTGCGAAACTTCGGTGCAATAGGAGCGTC